TACCTGAATCATAATCTCCGTTTTAAACACTCAAATGCGTGCGAAAAAGGGCCTTTAAAACACACGTGCTTTAAAGTTGCTAAGTAACGATACTTCAAGTATGACTTTTGAAACTGTCATCTGGATGAAATAAAAAATCCTCTTAGGTCGCTTTCTGTAAATGCAGAACATTTCTTTGGCTTTTGTACCTATCCTTTGGTTGAAACTTTCACAAACGCGCGTAATTTAGGGTATGCTTCCAAATCTGTTCCACTTTTTAATCGCAGCACTGCTTTAAAGTTTTGAATGAATGCACCAAATATAGAAGATTTAAATACCTTTGACATTTCCTTCATATATGCCAGCATTATGGATGCATTTAAGACTGTATTCGTAAGTAACTTCCTATTAATCCATGGAAACAACTTTTCATATTCTTTATAATAGGCTTTACTGGAGTTTACACCTACCAACGTTTGTTTAGATTTTACAACAATCGATTTAATGGGCGGTGTATTATCTTTTTCGACGGAAATCGTTTAATTCACAAAGACGATGATTTTTATAAGCAAACGTCAAAGTGACATTTCCATGGCAATCGTGAAATTACGAACACCCAGCCCACTTAATTAGACACGTATTCGAGTATAACGTCAATATGACTTCATTGTATTCCCTATTTTTAAATTATACTGCAGGTATAATAAAAAATACTATAAGATACACGTGTATAATTAGTCTTTAAAGCACTTGCAACGTTAAAGGCACTCCGCTTTGCGTCGTGCCCTTAAACTCGTTGCGCGTGCTTTAAAGACTTGATTATACACTTGTATCTTAATATACTATTATGAGTAATATAGAGGGCACATTATCATCCAGCGTAATATAAACTAGAAAACTTCCGGAAAGTCTGACGATGAATCAATACTTATTGCAAGTAGTGCTAGGTAAAGTGTAAAGCTGTGAAACTATTAGAGATGTAGACGCACGCAACTCCACCCTTGTTTCTTTGTTTTATTATGGTGCTGAATTATAGACTTTTGAGATTACGTAGTAAAGCAAGAACCGAGAAAGACGACCGGTTAGGTAAGAAATATAGTCTAGTTCCTGAAAACAGCACCCATGGGAGTGAAAACCTGTGTCAGAACTCCACAAATTTTGCTCTCCGAATCCGATTACCTATTAAGCTAATGGTTTTACCAGAGTGAAGGTGTCAAAGTCATAATATATTCATGCAGCTTCGATGAAATTTGTTTAATATCAGTTCTCAGATTTGCGCCAGAAAGTGTTAATAGAAAAGGGATTCCGTTCTAGACGAAGAAATTTCAGTTATTACAAACACGTAGGTACTGAATTCCTTCCTTTCTAGCAATTACACGTGCAATGCTAGCCGGCAGTTTATCGTCCAAACTTTGGCAATTACATCGAGTTTCCACAAGTTCTATGAATTTAAGAGAAAAAAAATAATATCCCACTAACTTGTTTATTAATCCGAGGCCAGACAGGAGAAAGTTTAATCGGATATCAATAAAAAGTTTTGAACTTTAGTGTCGGGTTAGAGCGGCAAGTTTCGAATTTCATAAAATTCAATACTTGAACCGGAAAAATTCATAGCTATAACTTATTAAGATGGGATATTAACGTGCAAAGTGCCAGGGTGGTTTCCTTAATTTTAAATATGCTGTGTGCACTATCTGTTCCGTAACCCTCTTTGCGTGATATTAGCTTTCAGAACTTAACATACAATTCTGGGAACAAATATTATTTCAGCAAGTTAGAGTGTTTTCTTTAGGGGTCGAATAAATTATATTCCTTATCAGAACTTACCCTATATGCGCTGTTGAACACTAGTACCGTCTATGAATTCTGAGATGCTCTTTAAAATAATAAACGATTGAAATTTCCGGTTTAACTTTGTGTTACTTTTTGAACATTAGACAACTGTCTGTTCGGGCGCGAGCTTAACGAATGATAACAATAAGTAACTTACATCCAGGAAATGGGGAGGATATTTCAATTGTTAATTAAAAATGCTGCTGCGAGTTTCCTCGATGACAATCATTATTCAATAACTTTTTCATGAGCATCTTATGTTACCGAAGTATCATTATACCTCCGAAAACAATCATTGTCAAGTAAAGGGTTAACAACGAAACTTAACAAATAATGTTTACCCAAAATCGTCCTGAAACGGCTGAAACCTTCATTTTCATGCCTACTTTCTGTCAGGAAATTTAGTTTCCATAACAGCGGCAGAGCAGAGTACGTGTACGTTTCCTGCCGCTTGTCACTTCACCGGCCGCACCTTCACTTTACCGGTCGCATCTGTGACATTGCTAAATGTCTATAATGGCTCCTGTCATCACTGACAGATTGACATTATTCAAAAGTTCAATATAAAAATTGAAATTATATATATAATTATAGGATTTCGGGTAAAATTTAATACAACACTCGTCAGTAAAATGGCATGACCTGACTCGGAAATTAAAGTACTAGGCCCCACTGACTTTTATGTAAATACCTAACTATTAAATCTTTCCTTGCTTTATTACTGTAGATCAATGAAAAACTTTGTACACTGATTTTACTGGAAAACATTTATTCCGAAAGAATTCTGCTCGTTTTTTGCTTCTGTTTGTCAATAATATATTGATGCATTGATTTTCTCCGTTGGAAATCGTTATTCTATAATTTATTTCATGGATACCATCGCAACAACGACGCGTTCGATAAAGTATTATGCATGGATCCCATAGTGTCAAATTGTTGGAGAGAAAATTGGGTCTTATTGTAATATAACTTTGACGTGTTTTTTGCTAATTTTCTGGAAACTGAGGTTTCTGGAAAGAGGTATAAAGTTTAGGTGTATTTCATGCACGCCACCATTTTGCATTACCACCAACAAAGGAATTCTACTTATCAGGGCACCTAAACATATTGAAAAGGGGACTGTCGAAACCAGTCTGATTCTAGCACACTTTACAAGCATATACTTTTTAGTGTTTGGCGTATTCTTTATTCACCTCGTACAATGGCGATGTCGATTTCCTTTTGTCTATGAACGGAAGTCCTGTTCTCAACTTCGCGCAAGGTTTTAGTTTTTTTTTGCTAAGTCGTGCGAGAATTTCAGTAATAAGGAAAAAGAAAAATACTACCTGAAGCGGTAACTCAAAATTCTATTATATTCCATTTTTGTTCGTAATTAAACAGAAAGTTTACAGGATTTAAAAGCTCAAAATAATAACCCTCATAACGAGATCGTAAACTAAAATTTCCTTTGCCTTCATTAAAGAGAAATTTTAAACCATTTCGATCGATTTAATTTAAAGTTTAAAGTACGAGAGCAATACCGAAACGGAAATATCGCCGAATTTGAAATCTTTTCTTTTTTTATCATATTTATTAATGGGAGGACAATTTATAACACAGAACGACTCTTTATTATTTCGAGTTTCGCTTCTAAAGGAACTTACATTGTCTTTATGTGTTTTTTTTTGGTTTATAATTGTAAAATACTGAAGAAGACTTTCCCTTTTTTATCAAATGTTATATGCAATATTTTTCGACCATTCTTTTACATCGAAAGCGGTATACGGAAAAATTATCATTATCGTATCCCCAAATTGATTAAGAAAGGATTTCGCAGCATCATTTGTTCTAGATACCTTATCCTTGCATAATTTTTATAAATGACTTCTAATTTTCTTAGACAAGTCTACCTTCAATAAGAATGATTGTGTGGAACAATAAATTGTGTGCCAGTGAAATATAGTTAATACAAATTGTATCAAATTAATAACATGTTATGCGAACACTTGACTTCGGGTTCTTTTAGTCACTCTTTACCTGATTAATTATAGTGAATTCTCTAATGGAATCTGATGATTTTAAACTGAATGCTCCAAATAGCATGTTCCTATTACCAGGCGTTACTATAAAATTTTAAATTTTAAACTGAAGTAGTCTCGGAAGTAGTAGATAATATACATTATGCGTATATTTTTTAATGTTTGTATTCAGTTAATTTTTCGACGAACCTCGTATAATAATTCGAACTGTCTGTAACATACCGGGTTTGAGTTATAAGATAATCCCTGACCGAATTTACTTTGTGTAAGTTGTGCTTGGGTGCTTGGATTTACAACCGTAACGCTACATTTGGTCCTTTGAGCCTTTAAATGAACTGGTGTTACATTTGGAAGTGAGTTCAAGTGCCAAAAATATCAAGTATGGAGATGGAGAAGCTGACCACAGACCACGGAGCGGTTCAAACTCGCAACGCTCAGACAATGCCACTCAGAGACCCGAAATGAAGACAAGCCAAAGGGCAATGGATTCAATGACCAATGGGACAGCGATCGGGACAAATGCACGCCCAATCGCCACGATCCCTAGAGGGCGAGGTTTCCCGTTTCCGACCCAGCATGGGTCACACACGCACACAGACTTCCGTAGATAGCAGATGAGATTTGATCGGCTTATGAAACTTATCCAGAACACACGGACCGAACTGGATGAGGAAATATTGGAATTATAAAAAGACTGGGATTCCACAGCTCTGAGACGACATCCAAGATGCATAGACGATATAATAAGCAGCGAATTACCTGATATTTTATGGAACGAAAGAGTTTTGTTTTGTTAAAAATAAGATATAAAAAATCAAAATTGGAGCCATGTTTGTTTATAAAAAGCGCAAATAATAATTCGATTACGAACATAGCATTGTATGTAGATGATTTTTTCGAACAATTGAATTGAGTTCGAAATTTACCATCAGAGACATTATTTAGGGATGGAATTTAATGTTGATAAAGGTAATAATCATACAATGGCTCAAGAAAAAATGTTAAACTCAAGTAGTTCAAACTAATTATTTAAGATTTCCTTCAGCTTTCGGACATTCGCTTTGAACAATTTAAATTTGCCCTTTCAGCTACGTTTCACACTTGATATGACCTTTATGCCATATATCTGTGCGTGGCGCTTACAATTAAACTATGCTAGTTATCACTCACCTCACGTAAAATGAAGAATGAAAAGCGGTAGGGTTGTCTTGTTGGGAAAACTTCGGAAGTGATCCTTGTAAAAGGGCTAAGCGTATTGTTAGCAACACACCGAGCTGAAAGAAACATGTAGCTATTAATTCCTTTATAAATTAAATCATTACATAAGTTCATGCTTAGTATATTCATTCTACTAAAGTTGAGTGCAGAAATCTTTTATTCTCTTTTTTCAATATTCGACAAATATTTCTGTGTAAACAATGCCAGTTTGGACATTGAAGTTTAGGTACGATCACCTGAAGTGAATGCGGGTCGTTTAGTTACTAATCAAAGTTTGGTTTCAATTTAATTAATCTGGTCGGTTTCCTTACGGTTAAACACAAAAAACGATTTTTCGAATCTAGCCTGTATCCAAGGTGTTTGTTTGTGTCGTTGTAAAAAAGATTATTTCCTAGAATTATTAAGGATAGGGAACTTTTATCTCATTTTCGTTATCAACTTGTTTTGTTAAATCATTTATGTGACAGTTGGGATTTAATTTATTGGGTACTTTGTTTAGTTTTATAAAAGATTGATGTAATTATCTAGAGATAAGGCTACCCTTTATTCGGAAAAAAATCGCCAATTTCGAGGTCGAGTTGCTGTCCTTTGAGACCCGCGTTTCTATGTTAAAGTTTGGTGGCAAAGTTCTTGCCTTTCGTCGCGTAAACAATTTTGTTGACCGTCTAAGATAATTCAGTACGTGGTAAATCAAGAGTCCAGCCAAGTTCGAGTTAAAGTTTTGAAGAAATGGTACGTAACAGTTTGGGATAGCAGTTTTCAATAAAGTTGCCGTCCACGTTAAACGGACAGCCATCTATTCATCGGTCGTGTGTTTGCGTTCAGCCAATTAATTCAGACAATCAACGTTTCTGCAACCTGTTTGGAACATAATTTAAGAAGCTCTGGTTAAGTGCGTTGTCTATATTGTAAGCTGGAAAATGGTATGGAAAAAGTCCAGGAAAAAGCCATAATGTGCCTACTTGGACTGAAAAATACCCGATATCAAGTGACCTCAAGTTAGATTTGCTGAAAAAAGGGTCTCTTTAATAAAGTCATCGTCCAATCCATGATTTTCCTTATATAATGGATAAAACTAGGTACTAGTTTTCTCTAGATAGTCTGTTTCGCTCGTTCGTTGGATTGTAATTTTTCCTGTTTCTGAGATCAGAAAACTTACCCTGTATGTAAAAAGGAAACATCTAGGGATCACAAATGATAGTACTCTATAGTCGGTAAAATATGTAGAATTAGTAAAACTAATTGCACATGGGCAACAAACAACTACAAGAACAAATGCAGATTAAATTACAAGGTTCTTATGTAAATTAACTCTTATTTTCGTATTCCATTGTTATATTGTGCTTATTAAAATTTGCTAAAATACGAGAACACTATAGCTTTTGGTTATGTTTGTGTTATATTGCTTGCGTATATAAAAAGCTAGACTTCATAATTAATTCTTTGATGTTTTGCACGGCAATTTAAAAAGGTCGACTTTCCGCTTTGTATGAGTTGTATTTTTTTTTGCAAACATTGAATTACGTTCTTTACTTGGTGCACACCTGATAGAACAAAGAGCGTTGTTTGCGATTTTATTATTAGATTCTTTACAAAACTGAAAAAGGTAATTCGTTTCCATGTTAATATTTTTAAACAGAAAATCTCACCGAAATTAAAATCTTGGCAGCCCTATTGGCAAAGTCTCTAGTTTCGCGGCTCCATTTCACCTCAGTTATTGCCCTGAAAATGATTGATATTAGATGGGTACGTGAAAGTCATTAGCACTTACCTCTTTATATTCGGCCAACTACGATACAGATCGTAGGACAAATTTAATAGAAAAACCGTCACTCCAGTTTCCTTAGCTAACATGCTTAGACCCCCCAGAATAACACACGTCCAAATATGACAGCTTCCATCGGGTTGTCTGAAAACAAAAGAAAACCCTCATGAGAACAAAGAAATAAAAGCATGTGTGATTAATAGGATACTACGCACGCTAGTGCCTTTACAGTATGTGGCAAAAGGAGATGTTTCTAAATTTCTCCTTTAAATCGTGATTTCCGTTTTTCGGATTTGGCTATGTAAAATTATACAGAAACTCATCATCAATGTTCGAGTCTAATTAGAGGACTTTTTGCACTACAATTTAATTTAACCTTTCGTAAGTATAAAAATCGTCTCTAGAAAAATATACCTTATTATTAGTTGGCGCATTTCCCTAAGGAATGCTGCTATTGTGCGCGGTTAGTTTATATTGTAGGCAAGCAAAATACCGAATACGTGCATGCGGAAGAGAGATCGTTTGGTACTATCGTATATTAAAGGTAGCTCTCGAATCGACAAGGTCGGTTCATTAAAATATCGATATGCCCGCGGACGACGCACTCACTTTATTAACTGTCTTACGGATTTATTGTCCCTGAACATCCCATTTTATTTTACTCGTAGCTCAATAGCTTCTTTTAACACCAATTATAAAAAATGGTTAATGTATAACCCCCTCACATGACACATGACACTAAGGGCGCTTTCCTGATTTCTGTAAATTCTTCTGATAGTTATTTTTCGTGGAAACATATATTCATACAGGAAAGGATCTATACCAGATAGGCTTAACGTGCTTTGGCTGTTTATTAACTGGCCCTCAGCCACCATTTAGAGAAGATCTAATCGTTAAAATTCGCCTATTTTACATATAGTGAAAACAGGCTTCCGTATTTCATGTTCATCTCAAAAAGTACTCAATATTTTTTTAACAAACCTTTCATCTAGTGGACACACATATCCTCATATGGAATCGAATTTCGATCCCTTTTGTTGCTTTCACATGTTGAAAATAATACCTATTATTTTTTAATCATTTTACACAGGAACTGGAGTGATATTGGCGTTAAAAAACGTGCCATTATATAGAGACATGTTTCAGGAATTTAAGTATAAAATTTCATAATCAAATTCCAATTCGTTTCAGAGATGAATATGAAATACGGAAGCATGCTTTCCCTACATTTTTAACATAAACGAAATGCCACCCTTAATGAACAATAATCACCTTTCAAAACTGCATAGAATCATATTTTTGTTGCATTAACAAATAGAATCACGCTTAGAATTAGTTTTATAACTAGAATAGTCAAATTAGACCAAAAAACTTTGACAAGGCGGAATTGATTGTAACTTTACGTAGCAAATAATATTAATTCATGTTTCTGAGTCGAGCCAAACTGGGGGGCAATGTGGAGTGCATATGCCGGCGGTACTCTTATTTAATATTTTTGCAGTTGCAGTATTGCAGTTGGAATGAACCAAATAAGTTTTCTTTTTATTTTGTGTTTTAAGTCGGAAATATAATCCAATATTCAAACTTCATTTTTTTAGCAAGTATATTTATCTCTTCTGGAATTAACTACAAAACATTAAATACAAAAACTAGCACCTTTAATTTTATTATCATAACCTATAAATGGAATGACGGAGAGATGTGCAGGTTTGTTTTTCTTTATTTCATTATATTTTGGTTTTGCCAGTGGCATAATAGGTAAAATTTAAAATCAAAGTTCTTGGCAAATGCTATTCGCCTTTGTAAATAAAGTAACACTCGGGAAAACCTGTAACTTGTGATGTATCAGAAAAGTCAAACTTATTTTGCGTTATTTATTTTGGACAAATATAGTTTTATTCATGTCTGACAAAGGTTCATCAATTTTGCACTTAATAAATATATGCCCGACAGTTTTCAGATTAGGAAAAAGAGAAAGTTCTTTCTATACTATAAAACAGTCTATTGGAAACTGGAAGAAAACTAAATTACGTTAAAACGGCAAAGTTTTGCATACCAATTAAAATTCAACGTAGTTTTAAATTTTGGGACCAATTAAAAGTTATATAAAGAAAATCTACAAAAGTGTATACATATATCTCCGTCAATGTAAAATACATGTCTAAAAGTTTCATATAAAAGTTTCTTCTTTCAATAAGACAGGCTCAAAAATAAAATTAACGAAAGTCAAGATGGTAAATAGATTTTGCCATTAATTTAACAATTTATGTTTCTGGTATTCTTTCTTTGCTCAAACATAGATTTACTATAATTAAAAAATAGTAAAGATGGTAGTCACTATCAGGGACACTCTGTATTTGTAAGGTACATTAAGAACACTTTCCAATGGATACAAAGTAACACTTTTTTGAAAGTAAAATTGCTTATTACCGTCGTTATCGATTATCACATTGCCCTTTATCTAAATTTAATATTTAAAATAGCGTATTGGAACGTATAGTTTAATTAAAGCAGATTAAGTCTTCCAATGCGATCCACTTGTTTAGGTGCTATTGTACAGCTTGGATCGAATCTGTGATTGTCGAAAACATTAATCACTCTTACTTCGGAAACGTTAAAATCATTTTCAACCTCCTCTGAATTTATGGACATTATGGTCTTCTACTGGACCAAATACTAAAACACGTGGTTGGGTCAGTAAATATGAACCTAACCTACCTGAGAATTTATATATGGACCCAGAACTAAGGAAAAAAGGAATTATAAACTGTGTCCAAGATAAGGAAGTTTACAATGGGAATATCCGAAACCATAGCAGATACGGTGTTGGTCAAATTAGGGAAAAGTTGCGCAATTAAACAGTAATTATCACGCTTTAAAGAAAAACCAGAAAATTCCGATTATTTTCCATGAATGCCAGAAAAACCGAAATTTGCCGATCATATACATTCTTTGTCATGTATAATACCTATTTAATCATACAAAAAGAGATCTTATACTATTTTAATAGATGTTTTTCACATGTTTCAAATGTATTTGATATATACTTTATACATTACTCAAAGGTATTTAATATCTATTAAATATATGTTTAATCATAAAAAACATGTTAAATACTTTTTAAACAGGTATTTTATAGATGTTTATATTAGAATGTATTAAATACGAGATTAAATATCTTTGTAAAATAAGAAAAATATTACATTAATATGAGAAAGGGGTTTACTAGGAATAAGTTAAGGACATATTTTATACATTTTTTCACACATATTTAATATCTTTTAAATACAACTACACAACACAACTACTTGGGCATACAAAGACGATTGGCTTTAGTAAAAAATAGGCGGTGTATTTATTTTACCGTGTAGATAATACGCAAAACTAGAACAGGATTCTGCTATATTTGGGTAAAAAGGCAATGCTTAGAAATTGTTTTCATATGAGTTCGACGTAAACGACATGCTAGAATAGTAATCAGGTAGTCCTAACGGCCATGAATGAATGAGGAGGCAACGGGTCATGTAGCGAACGAAACGAAGGAAGACATACACGTCTTGAATGTGATATGACGTGTGACACAGAAAATAGCGAAAACTTCAACAGTGAAAAAATAACTATTTTTTCACTGTTGAAGTTTTCGCGCACTAACTATTAATTAGTCGTTTTAAAGCTAGTACTTCATGCTTCAGAATTTTCAAAATAATTACAGGTTTTTTGAGCAAGCATATACTACTTGAAAACGCAGAAAAATTCGAGATGCATTCTAATGAAAACGCCTGTAGGATTTTCCTACTTTTTCACAAATTTACTACATAGACGTATCGAGACATTAACATTTTTGGGATGCAATTCACTTCCTTCTCAGGGTTGAAGTTACGTAAATAAAATTACTTAATTTAGATCCCCCCTCCCTAAAACTAAAATTCACGTGTTCTGGCAAAACTGCCGTTAAGCGGCCAAACTTGACATTGACCGATTTCAGTGCGACCCTGTATGAAGTTCATTTTAGCAACGAGAATTTTTTCTATGTACAAGTTTTACTAATTCTGAAGGTAGCGGACAATACTTCGTTTTATACTTAACATTAAGGGGAAGTTTCCCAGATTAAAATGTGAACTAACAACTACTTAGGTGCATTAGAAAGTAGTAATTATTTTCAACTTGCCCTTTCAACGATCTCATAGTCACATTAAAATAAATAGATTATTAGACTCTTGTAAGGCTTGGCCGGAAAGATTGCTTTCATATATTCAGCGAAAGCAAAAGATGAATAACGAGTAATTCTTCGTTCGTCTAGAATATACAGAATTTAGATAGTAAATGCCGAGTTTGTGTGATTTCCCTTGTGTTCCACTGGTAGATATCTTTCTTTAGAATAAAAATAATGAGAATGCAAAGGACGAAAAACATAAAATCTATTATTAAAATATGAAACAAGTTGCTCATATATTTTTTGTTTGTGCTGCTCGTTGTACCGGATCCTACCGGTTTTCATCATCTCATAGTTTAAACCCCGTGAGGAAATTTGAAAAGAGATATTTCACCCAATTTGTACTGCACGCTTTATACGTCAATAGTAAGCATTATCTTGTAAATGAATTGTAATGCAACACATGCATGCAGTGTTTGATCTTGTAAAATGAACAGTAATGTGAAGTTGGGGCGGCAAAGGGCCTTTAACTCGAGACCTAACACGTAATTTGCCCATAACTAGTAGGTTGAACCAAAATTAGCTAAATTTAAGCAATATTGCGTTAGTAACATAACTGCATGTCAATTGCACATACGTTCCTAAAGGGGTAGTTGCACAATATGTAATGGACTTTAACGTTTATGTACACTTGCTTGCTTTGTGCTTGTCTTTTAAAATGTCGTAAGCTCGACATCAAAACAAAATTGTTGCAACCATCCCGCAACCAGACCAATTTTCTTAAACACATTTTTGTCAAATAGCATAATGAAAGTTATAGGCGTCAACCTCGGCAAGCTTATATACAGAGTGGCCCAACGAGAAGTATACAGAGGGCTTTTAGGGTATTAAATTTAGAAATCCTCGAACACGTCAATTTTGTATTCGAGGGGGACAACTTTTGGAATACAAATCATGAACCCAAGTCTTCACCCCTCTACGTAGGGAGCTT